GAAATGTAGCTATGTAATGACCCAAAGTCCAGGGTGATATGACAGTATAAAGTTCCAAAGAGTACTAACGATCACACACAATATTGTGTGTGTAACCGTTAATCTCAAGCTTGCCTTCGAATTTCATCTCTACTTTCCTTTGTTTAAAGCATCATAGGTCACAACTTGTTAAAGCTCACCCTCCCACCCACCCGAGCAAACCCTCATAGAGCACAAACAATAAAGGGCATTTGTTAAAAAGTGTCTTTGTAAAAGTTTGTGTCAACGTTTCGAAGTCGGTCTCATCGGAACGTCCAATTACAAGGTGTAACAAAAACAATTTTCTTCCTGGGTAGTAAGTTTTCTTTCCTAATTGCGTATGCCTCAAAAGTACAGAAAATGGCTTTTACTCCCCACAAACTTTGCTTTTGTGAAATTTACCTATTTTCAATGAGAAAACTTGGTGTGCATTTGTGTCATTTCTTCACGTAAAGTCCTGCTCACAAAAGTTTGTGGGGAATAATAGCCATTTTCTATACCTTTTAGCATAAGCGATTAATAAATAACACTTACTACCCAGGGACAAAAATCGTGTTACATTGCGTTGTAATTGGCTCCATGGAGTTTTCAGAATTACGACATCTATGCCGTAACCAATGACCTGACAATTGTCAGCCGTGCGCTCTTTTATTATAATTTTGCCTTTTAAAGGCAGTTGCTGATGGGTGTTTTGAGGCAGCTTGTGTGCGCAACGCAGGGATGCCTGTAAATGGGTTTGCTTTTAGTTGATTTCCCTCTTTCAGGCCACGTGTGAGAAAGGTCAAAGGGGAGAAAACGAAAGCGTTTAAAAATTCAAACCTAACTACATCGTAGAGCTCACTCTTTTCTTAATTAGCATGTCTGGTTTTCAATGTGTCATGTAATTTAAGTCGGTTACTGGGTAACATCCATTAGTGTCCTTTTATTTTCCTGTCAATGCAGCCAGTGGAGAGGTTTTCCCTTCCCCTTTGCTGCCCTCGCAGTCTGAAACTCCCTTCCTCCCAAGCAGCTGTGCTGCGACTTTCCGATTCTCCTCTGCCTATGACCAACTATCACTTTCCATTGCTACAATGTATTAATATTCCTCCCTTCCAGAGAATACCCATGTCCTTCGGTTGTGTCACTCTTTTCTTAATTAGCTTTAAATCTAGAATTGTGTCCGTTGTCTCCAGATGCGATTGAGATGCTATGTACACGCAAACATTGTGCAGTATTGTAATAATTTGACAGTTATGTAGATTTAAAAAAAAGAATAATAACAATAAAATAATAAAAATAAAATTGAAAAGTGAATAAAAAATAAGAAAAAAATCACATTTCCATCGCAACACAAGCAATCGTTATCAGGACCCATTTCAAACCTTTAAAACAGCCTGCCTCAGCAGCTGTCCCCCGCTTTTGTCTCCTGATGACGATTGCTTGCGTTGCGATCGAAACGTCGTGATATTTTTATTCTTTTATATTCACTTTATTTTTATTATTTCATTGTTATTATTTTTTTAACCTACGTGACTTTACCGAAATACCCAAAGAATATGAATTCCTGCAGTAACGGAAGCTTTAAGTCAATATTTAATTTGATAGTTAGCCATTAAATAAATAATTAGTAGCAATAATCGCGTTATCGGCAGTGCTAACCAAACACTGCATTTGCAATAACAAACAACTTTTATCATTAGAAGTATCACCGAATAATTCGTTTAATCGGAAACTACTGAGTGCGCCTAGAAATGCGAGTGACCTTGTAATTCTCAACAGTGCTGCCTCAAGCAACGAAAGTAGTGTACGAGTGTACCATGTTATGAATCCAGCAATAATCCTCCACAAAGTAGCATAATCTGTGAAGACAGTGTCACCTATCAGTAATCGTCGTCGTGATGTAATCTCCACCTAAGGTCTTTCACAATCGTTGTCCTAAGTTTAAATGTATCGTTAGCCTGAATCTAACACCAACAGTTTAACAGTGGCATCAAAGTGAACATAATTTCATGTTTGGCATTAGCCTGCAAACATACCGTGCATTTCAACTGATCTTGAAATTTTAAGAGCTTTGATTCCAAAACAAAACAAAATAGCAATTTGGACAAATTAAAAGAGTTTATATATACGTAACTGAAAACACTTATCATATTCGAACAAAATACAATGGTAGCAAATGTACATTTTAATGATTTACGTCCTCCCACATTTTAAGATACTTTATTTCACAGCTATAACAATAAGTGAGCACCTGTGGTAGTTTGTCCCAAAGGGTTTGTTAGCAGAAAGGTAAAATGGTGCTTAACCGCTGTCGGCATTCGCCTCTGATTAGCGCGGTTGGCTACGTACGGTGCGAAAGAAGGATAACAGATTATTTGTGACGTGTAGCACTTTCATGCGAACCAATTTAATGCGTGAAATCTAATTTTACGTAAACAGCATTTCAAATTGAACAAGGTATACAAGGTCATTGAAATATGTTTATCTTAAAAATATTTTAGTTGACCCAAATAAAAGTGTTGTATCTTTATTAACTAAATAAAACATTGTTATTGCATGCACACATATCTATGACTGTAATCTAGAACTTTGCTGCCATGAGAAAGACTCACATATATAATTTACACATTGGGCCAGCTGCCTAACTCGTAATTAAACAGTTATGAGTTAAAATCCTAGTTCGACATCTACCCAACCCATCATCCCAATAGGGTTGCTCAATACGAATGTGAAATTAGATGTGGTTGCCTTGTCGCTATCATAGGAATCAACGGTGGTTGGCTTGCTTATTCCATGAGATGTAAAACCTGTACTATTGAATTTTGACTTAAAACTTTCGTGACTGCAGGAACTCATATTCTTGGTTCTCTCGGTAAAGTCACATAAATAGAAAACAAAAAAATCTAAAGATTAAAATAAAATAAGAATAATCAAATTAGATTCAAATGAAAAATAAAAATTATAAAAAATAAAATAATTTATTTTTCCTATTTACGTGACTTTACCTGTACTATTGGTTAATGATTACCTCATATCACTCATTCCAGCATGAACACACTGCCTTGCTTTTATTATTGATTCACGATAGTTCTCAAACTTTTTGACTACTCTGACGCTGCATACAGATCAGCTACTAATGAAACATTGAACAAACTTAACCCGCTTCATCATTCTGCACTGGCTGTACCACATGACCCACCATTGTAACCTCTACTTAATATCCAAACTCACATCACTTAATGAAAGAATATATCTACATTGGGCCCTGTTCATCCATTTAAAAAACCTTATTGGCAAATCTGTGCTATACTTAGCTCATTCATTAATCCCATTGTCAAACCTAATAAACCTAAGACGTTCATCTAATTGCATTTTAACTATCTCTAGAACAACAATTGGAATAGGTGACAGAGCCTTTGCCATTGCAGCACCAACATTTAGGAACAACCTTATTCCTCCCTTAACAGCGTAAGTACTTTTTAATATAATTTTCTACATAAGTGACTTTACCGAAAAAACCAATGAGTATAGTAATTTATGCATTCACGAAAGCTTCAATTCTATATTAATCCACCTCTACGGGGAGGTTACCTTTACGATTCTGTCCTTAACTTGTTGCCCTGTGTTTATCTTGCCTCCGTATGTATCTCTACGTGCTTCAATGTGCTCTGTTTTCTGTTTGCCGTGGTCTGTGTCTCTGTTTCACTTTCTTCCTCCGTCGCTGTCCTCGATGTTACGCATCCATCGCACTCCGCGTGTGTTCCCATTGTCTTCAACCCCTCCCCTCACCTCTGCAGCTTATTTCAGCACCGTTCCTGTCCGGGTTGTTTACTCATTCATGTGCTCTCTCTCTGCGTAGGTTCCCATTGTCTTCAACCCCTCCCCCCACCTCTGCAGCTTATTTAAGTCTCTGTCCGTCATCCCTCCAGTCCTTTTTGTCTCTTGGTGTGGTGTTACTCTGGTTGTCCATCTGTGCTGCCCAATATATCTTTCCTTGCATGTTCTTCCCTATGTATGTATTTCTGCTACCTTGTACCTCGTATTTGTTCACTGTCTATGCTGGTTTGTTCAACCCAGAGGATGAACACGAAATTTAGCAGTCTTCTGAAATTCGTGGTTAACCAGGTCAGTGTCTGTGTTGTTGGCCGACTGGTTTTGCATCACGTTATTTTTCTTACTTTAACGTTCTCTATGTGCTATGTACGTGATGTCCCCCTATGTGCTCCCTCACTATTTGTTTTACACCTGATGATGATCGCTTGTGTTGCGTTCGAATCGTCGTGATTTATTATTATTTTAATATTATTTTCTACAAACGTGAATTTACCGAAAAAAACAATGAGTAGCGTAAGTATTCCTTAAAATAATATCCTGAAACAGCAGATTAGTGCTGGATACAACCAAATTTGCCAATGTGATTTGTAACTTTGATCCTTACCCATGTATCAATAGTTACATTTTAATGTGCACTTCGATTGGGGGGACTGTGTGTTGTATTGGTGTGGTCTGGGACTGAAGGCTACCTTGTCCAAGTTTGCATGAGCGCTGAAAAATCGAAAGGAATTTATGTACGTGTGTAATTTGTACTTATATACTTAACTATTGTTTTAACTTTAGTGACTTGCTTTACCATTACTCTATTTTGCACTCCTATAAAAAAAATGCTGTTGTAACTTGCTGACTCACGCCTACTGGAGATCTGCGAAAAAGAGCTTCATAGCTCATCGGATTTTTGTCAGGATAAATATTCTTATTCTGACTATATCTTAAGGACCCAAGTTATTTTTCTGCACGCATCTGGAATCATATTAAGCATATATATTTTAATCTCATTTAACATGGGGTGAAGCCTAAACTCATGGCATCACCCTTGACAGCATTGCTATCTAACAGCACAGTGTGTGTGTGTGTGAAAGCATCGTGGGCCATGACATGAGAGAACGTTTCATCTGCTCGTGCAAAAAAAAAAGAACCTCTCTGCTGTCAATCACGTCCCAGCTCACCGCAGGGCGTAGAGCACCGTTCCGTTGGGGAATATGCGTATGAGCCGGTTCTCCACCGTGATGTCGTGCAGGAAGGAACGCTTCGAGTCCACGATGAAGGTGTCGGGCACCCACAGCAGCTCCACAAGCCGCCCGTCCAGACTCAGGCTCTTGTTGCCCTCGAAGCACAGCCTCTCGTCCTGCCAGCGCTGCCGTAGGAAGATTGTCGCCGTGTAGTCCTGATCGCAAGGGATGCTTTCATTAGGACCGTATGACTTTCATGTGTTGCTTTATTTTTACTTACGCACGCGAATAAACGTGACAAAACGTGCTCAAATGAATATAGGGGGCGCGGGAAGGGTGGAGGCGATGCACGTCTTTGTTGGTGGCTCTGTTCAAGGGTGGCACTGCTGTGCGAGAGATCCAAATGGATACTTTGTCTCTTAGCGTGACGCTGATAGCACAATCAGGACAACATTTTCTCCAGTAAGATGGTCATTATCGTACTGTACAGCAAAAAAAGGAAGTGCTGCATAGGCAAAGACCCATGTAGTATTGATCTCGACTGGTCGCCCAAAGCAAGTGGTGGAAATTCCACATTTCTATGGACAGTTAATCCATAGTGCAGCCTATAGTCTATCCCTAGGACAGCCTTTGTTGACTTTCCACAAAGTGCTACTAGTATTATTGACCACGCAAGGTTGATAAGTTGATCTTGAAACCTTCTGATCATGAGTGAAGTTCCACAGCACCATCCAACCTACAAAATTTCAGCATTTTTACATTGGCCGTTCTATAGAGACAGATCCTTACCACAGGAATGTGGAAATTACCGCACTGGCTCAAGGCCACCAACAGAAATTAGCCACTGTGTAACACTTGTTGGAGCATGGAACATCAAGTGAAGTCAACAGTGTTCCTCATATATTTTTTAAGTCGTGAAAGCTACATAACAAAAATGATATGTATTCAAGTAAAACGTTCAGTTCATTTATTTCAGTTCAGTTTATTTAATTTATTAGGTTTAGCCCTGTGAGCCATGCGGCTCTTGAATCGGGTGCAACCACAACAAACAAAAACATGAAGAAACATCTTAAAGTGACTACGCGCAACAGAAAAATCCAGGAAAAAACAGCTAAGTCTTCCAGAAAAAGCATCGTATATCAACGCTGTATGCAAAAATCTCAGTGGGATGCAAGTCAAACAATAACCATGAGACAATTTAGATTAAAGTTATCAGTCTAACTCTGTACTACAACAAACAAATATGGCGAAACCAAAACGCTTTCGAAATCACCAAAATAAAGTGATAAAAACAATGTAACAGTGATCATAGGAACTGTGATTAAAATTTAACAATAAACGATACACATAACATGTACGACCAAACTTTGCAGCCATAGCTAGCATGAGTCACTCCATAACAGCAGGAGTATCAGTAGGAGTATCAAAATTTTGCAATGCACCTTTAAAGATCTGCACACTATAATCAAAAATCAAGATCAAACTTTGCAGCGGTCATCCGGAGTGATACATTTGATTTCAGGCCACTGAATAGCAGTGGCAGCTAGGGGTGTACAACTCCTCTAGAGCAGTTTTGAGTGAAGATCTCACAGGTAGTGATCCAAGTTGCAGTTTATTGGCGATAGCATTCCAGACCCTGGGGGCACCAATAGCAAAGGCCCTTCCTCCAGTATTTGTACGGCAATAAGGAATGTGAAGCTGGTAAATGAGGGAGGACCTTAGGTCACATTTGTTCTTCGAAACAGTGAGGAGATCCAGCAGGTAGTCCGCTGATTTTTGTAAGTACATCGTGAATAAATAAGATCTGATGCACAAGCCGTCGATCATTAAGGGATGTTAAGTAAAACGTAATGGACTGCATTGCAAGTGGGCCAAGTGTGGGCTAAAAACACTGCTTCACTAACCATACCTGTAACACGTACAATGTAATATTTCAGACAAGAGCATTTTTTTTCTATAAACAGGCTATTCAACAATTGTTACTGTTTTCATATTTCACATTGATCATCACTGTAGAGAACACGTTTAATAATACGTATGTAGCGAGTCCAACTGAGTCACAGACGTTCTTCTTCAGAGACAACACATTTATTACACAACACGTATGTACAAAAGGGGTAGCTGCCCCTTTACCAGATACAGCCTAGGGTGGTGGCCACCCAGCTAACTGCACTAGCATACAGGAGTTATGGCTTTGACGGACCGGACCAGTACTCGGTTCCCGGGCCACGTGTTGGTGCCTCTTCAGATGTAGAACGTAGAGCTTCCAACTTGCAGAACGAAGCAACCCCGGCCCCTCCCAGGGACCCACCTTATATCCTCCCGGGTCGGGGCCGGCTCCGCCCTTGGCCCCGCCCACCTTCGAGAGCGTTCCAGCTCTCTCTCGATCTCTCTTGAGAGCTCTCCCCGGACACGTGATCACTCCCTAGCCCCCCCACCTGGGGGCCTCCCTATGGACACTCCGGATCACGTGCCTATGGGGATAACAAGTGTTCCATGGCCCGGGGCAACCACCCTGTCCCTCTAGTGGGAGCCCGCACTGCACGCTATGCGTGGTGCCATCGCTATCCGAGCGCTCAGCAAGCCCCGCTAGGGCTGGTACTACACCCACCTACCGGGTGTACGCGATGACATTGCATTGTATGCCGTGCTCTGCAGAACCGTGAGAGATCGCGACGGCTTGGGGTATGGGGTGGTGAGGGGGGGGGGGCTTCATCCAAGCGGTGGATTGATTGTGGATGATAAAACTAAATTGTGCATCTATTTGCTTCAACATCTTTAAAAAATAAAATAATTAAACCGTTTATACCCTTTGCTAAGGAGTTTCTAATGATCGGGGGATAATCGGCTTGGGAAAAAGTATTCTGTGGTAATGGAAAAGAGTTCTCTCCGCTTGCATATAAAGTAATTGGCTGCGCCATAATGCTGAACAACCCTCTCTAAGTATGGCAGTCTTGTTCATCATGTTCCCACAACATATAGTAAGATTTACATTATGAGGCCTCCTTTGCCAGTAACAAGATATAGGAATAGGTTTTACCCTTTTAACTGGCACAAAAACTTGACACCTTTATTCAAGGCATCATGTTTGCAATAACCACAACACAAGCAGTCGAGTTAAAAGGGTAAAACCTATTCCTATATCTTGTTACTGGCAAAGGAGGTCTCGTAATGTAAATGCTCACCCCGAGCCCTCAATGCTCTGATAGTGCGCTGTTTTTTAGTTGTACGCCTTTTGGCGTCTTCTGGTCCAACACCAATGGAGACTAGGCTCTAAGAAAAGCCGTCTCGGGTGTGGACCAATCAAATTCAAGTACAGTGCATATTATCAGAGTTGTCTTTTTTGTTTGCATTTTGACTATTTGTGTTGTGGTTATTGCAAACATGATGCCTTGAATAAAAGTGTCAGTTTTTGTGCCAGTTAAAAGGGTAAAACCTATTCCTATATCTTGTTACTGGCAAAGGAGGTCTCATAATGTAAATTCTCACCCCGAGCCCTCAATACTCTGATAGTGCACTGTTTTTGAGTTGTACGCCTTTTGGCGTCTTCTGGTCCAACACCAATGGAGACCAGGCTCTAAGAAAAGCCGTCTCGGGTGTGGACCAATCAAATTCAAGGACAGTGCATATTATTATCAGAGTTTTCTTTTTTGTTTGCATTTTGACTGCTTGTGTTGTGGTTATTGCAAACATGATGCCTTGAATAAAGGTGTCAGTTTTTGTGCCAGTTAAAAGGGTAAAACCTATTCCTATAGTGTAATATGTACTGAAACCAGGGTTTAATTTACATTTGCCTGCTTTCTCCAGACAACTGGACTTCCCAGTCATGCAAATATTTAGGTACACAGCTGACATGAAATAAATATAAAATACAAGATCAACACCACATGACACGATACTTTTTTTTACTTGTCCAGGAAATGCTGTATTTCATGTACATGTTGGATGTAAAATGCATAATAATAATTGTGCATGTGTTTGCCATTTATCCATCTGCTAAGATTATGTTTCTCATCAAAATAATATCACACTGTCAGGACATATATAGAGAATTTATTTTAAAATATGTACCATTAATTATTGTTCTGCTTAATTTTATTCTGGCTCCAGGCAACTTGGAACAAATCATATTTTCATGCCTATGTGAGACTTAGTGACTTTGAAGTAAGCTGCCAATCTTTCACTGACATGAAATAATTTTTACGCATTGATTTTAAATGACCTTCCTTCCTCATTACAAAGCAATTGTGTGACTATCTTGAAGCTGCTATTTCAATATGATCTTGACAATTAGACAAGATAGCATCCGTTGTAATTAAAGTAACTCGTCTACTGCGTAGCTTTTTGTGGTTGCACTGCATAGCTCTTTCATATGTTTTCGGAAATAATTTGGCCATGATGTCTGATGTTTCACTCCAAATCCTGGGAGCTTCTTTATGTACTCAGTATTCATTTCCAAAAGAATCTCCCAGTGCATGTTAATGTAACAAGTTCTGTAACTTGTCTTAAGGAAAAGGAATGTTTATTCCCATGTTAAGGTATTCAGAATAACTAAAACAATTTGCTATGCATACACATTAAAAAAAAACTGCCTGCCATTACCTTGGCTCACATTCATAGGTGAGAATACAACTGTTGTTGTTGAGGTTCAAAGAAGTAAAATAACTACAAATGTGGAGAGAAAACATCACTTTTCTCCTGCAGAATGTTATTATTGTTCTCAGTTGCCTCACCATGTTGATCTCAGAGATGGTGTCAATGCTTGCAATGTCGAGACTCATGCCGATGGCAACTGGCCCATCTGAAAAAATACATGTGAGTAAAAAATAGACTTAATTGACATGCCAAGAGAGGAAAAACTACAATTAAATCGAAATGACATCATTCTTATAATTTCATCAAATTCTTTGGTTCTTTCGGTAAAGTCACGTAGATAGAAAAATAAAAATAAAGTTATTAAATAATAAAATAAAACCCCAAAGTGGTTGATGACATATTTCCAATGATGTCATCAACCACTTTTAGTCATGACTTGATTTGTTTTTTTCTTGTCAACCTTCACCGTCAGCAGTGTGGGTGTGTGGAGCGAGGTGCAATGATTACCTGGCGGCCCTTTGATTGGTGGAAACCCACCGCCGGTTCATTGTTTTCTCCTACATTAACATTAGCTGCCCCGCCCATGCTGCTGACACACTTGGGCTATGCCCATCTTTAAACCTTTATAAACAGTTTGCCTTTAGAGGCTGACCCCCCTTTTCCTGATGACGACCGCTTGTGTTGCTATCGAAACGTCGCGGTTTATTTATTTATTTTATTTTTATATTTATTTTTTATTCACTTACTTTTTTTTATTTTTATTTCTATCTACGTGACTTTGCCGAAAGAACCAAATAATATGAATTCCTGCAGTCACGAAAGTTTTAAGTAAAAAAATTATTTCATCATAATCTATTTAAAGTAACTATCAGTCATTGAAAAAACGGCATTCGCAAAATGTATATGTAGAGTACATAACATGTGAGATGTTAGCATTCACCTAGGTAGATGTTTTGATTAGCCATGAGGCCAATCACAGATTAGCGAATTATATTGTGGCCTACATAATATACGAGGTCAGAGTATTTTGTACAAATTTCCTCCTCATGTACTGTAGTGTGTTGTGTTTAATGTTGGGTTGGCAAAATTAACTATAATGAGTGCTCATTAAGGTACCGTAAGGATGCCAGAGGCCTCTATGATTAAAAAAAACATTGCTTAATGATTAGGAATTGCAAAGCAATACAGAGACAAATTGGAGGATGTTATTTAGCAAAGCAGCAATTGTTATTGAAATATTTGCATTTGTATTTGCGTATTAGAACGTTATTAGGAAAACTCATATAATGCTATGAAACATCTGGCGTTGGATGAGAGCCATCTATCTGCCTTTTTATGCAAATAGTCTTGACCCCCGTCAACCCCATGCGAAATAATTTTAGGTGCAATCTTTAATGATAAAAGAAGGAGCCAGTGACCCCAATAGAATTGGACAGCCCCTGCAGCTATCCCTAACATTCAATTATAATGCAAACGATATTAAAATATTAGCACACCCTTGTTGAATTGGTTTTTTTTTAAGTACAGTAAAACCTTGGATTGCGAGTAACTTGGTCTGCGAGTGTTTTACAAGACGAGCAAAAATTTTAAATAAATATTAATTTGATAAACGAGCGAGGTCTTGCAATACGAGTAGTACGTATACGCTTTGTCTGCCGAGCGTCACGTGATCACAACTGATATACGAGTGCTTTGAAATACGAGTGCTTTGAATTAGAAACACGTTTCCGGAACGAATTATGCTCGCAATCCAAGGTTTTACTGGTACATCCTATTCCAGACACTGCTGCTTTTGGTCATTGAAAATGAATAATGTTTAAAGCATTGCACGTGACACTTTTTGAACGAGCGTACGTAAACGGCTTACTGTCAAAAGAGGGCCGGAGGTACTTGTTATATCCCCGCATGAGGTTCTGAATTTTCTGAGGAAGGGCATCACCCTCCTTGTATTCTTGACTTCCTTGGCTGACCAATACATTGGCGACAGGATCCATATGCGTCATTATAATTACAAAGCAAGATCGTGCACGAATGCCGTAGCGAAAATAAACTGGACATTTCTCTGCAACCAGACAATGATGTTAGTAACACACATTATCATTCCACCAGAAAAAAAATAAACATCATGTGTAAACCCATCAAACGGAAGGAGATGCATGTAATGCTGTGCCTTCTTAAATATATGCTGACAGCGGTGTTTTTAATGGTCAAATGTAATCAATTGTCCACTCAATCATGCAATTCCCTTATTTATAACCATGCTATATCCTACGACGATAGAATATATTTGAAAAGAAACACCTGACCCCAATACAGTGTGGAAAAATGATTAATAAGGTGTATTACTGATTATTGTTTTGCCTATATCATCTGGAATGCGTCTGGCCTCATTATATCTCAGAAGCTAAGCAGAGTTGAGCCTGAATAATCCTGGGATGGGTGACCACAATGCATAAAATAGGCATTATAGGCTGCTTCTGAGCTACGTAGCCATTAGCAACAGACGACAGTACATGAACCTACATTTTTGCACTGTACCTCTCCCCCCCCCCCCCCCCCCACATTTAGAATGCTTTCACTGAACTAACGAGCGATATGGTGAAGCATTGACAAATAATCCCCGTGACAAAAGAGGGCATAGCAAATGCCCTCGTCCAGCAGTGGATTGGCCAAAATAGGCTGCACGTGTGCTGATCGTAATGAATATAATTGTTGAACAAGTCAAAGAGTACATTGAAAAGGGATTACGATTAGATGACTTTTTTTTTTTAGAAATGCACAGCAACTAGGGTAATCGTTTATGTTGACAAAAGGTGAATCATTGCGAGCAGGTACACACTGAACATGCTAAGTGGCGTCACTAGGGTTGGTGTCACCCAGTGCGGTAACTCATGGACCTCCACCAGTAACCAGGCCATGTAGAATGCTTAGTTATGTTTTTTTGTACTAATGTTACTCGTAAATCGTAATTCCCGTATATCACTGAATGTAATGGCAATAGTAGTGACATAAACAACTAGCACAAATTAAATTACACTTTTGAATTACAATATTTCCTTTAATTACTACTTAATTCTCCAAAAAAATATTAATATAGGTTCACAAATACTAATTACCGCAATATTGTAGCTAAAACACCAGAAAATTTGACAAAATCAGCGACTAGCGACGAAAACAACGGCGCGTGCTTGCAGCGCGTGCAGAGGAAACCACGTGACTCGACGCGTCATTGTAATTGTGCAACAATGACATCTCTGAACGGAGTGCTTTAGAAGGTTCAAAAAGTAAATTAGCATAGAGTTTTAGCCTTGTAGGTATATTGATACAGGACATGTAAGCTGGGCTTACGAAACAAAATTTTGTTGTTGTAACTAACTACTGGGATATTTTTTGTTATGTATTTTTTTAAAAAATATACATTTCTGCTGAAACACTGCACAAACATTGTATAGACAGTCATTTTGATGTCACCCCCCTCTGTTGGTGTGACCAGGTGCGGTTCGTACCCCCTGCACCCCCCCCAGTGACGCCACTGAACATAATGACTGGTGTTTTTTTTGCCTGGCTGTGACATTAGGGTTGCAATGCATCTGGCAGACCAATTTCCAGGATTAAGGATTATTTTTGCATCATCTCTGTGACATTTTTTATAATTAAAAAATATACTTGTTGCATTCAATCGTCATCACTGTGCTGATTCAAATTGTGTTAAGGTGATAACAAGGCAATTTACTATGAATGTACATTTTTCATGCTGACAAAAAAATCTCGCCCAATATATCTCTGAAATGGAAACTGTAAAAGAGCTTATGTATAGCAGGTGGAGCTTAATGGATAATAAAAAATATATGTAGGGCATCCGTTTCTATGAGGTTTTTTTTTAAAATAGAGAAACTTCAAAACAGATAAACTTCAATAACTAATTTTTTAAGTATTAAAATTTATACTGCGTGTGTCGGTTACAAATATAAAAAGTAAAATGCATCTTTCAAATATATATTTTTTAAAATCATAGACATGCATTTTCACCATGCAGACATACACCGTTCAATTTTGGGACACCATTAAATACACTTGTGGTCATTGAGACAAAGACCCAAAGTTAATTCTATTTGTTGTTATCTTATTTTAACCCTATCGCTCCCAAAATCGTCCTTTTCCCGCTGCATTCAGTCTTAATTCCAACTATAACTATGAAAACACACACGCACTCTGAGCCTGCTGTGGAAGTTAACGTCCACACACATTTGTATTGCAAATGCAAAGCGTTTTATGTTTACGAATGAAATCCCTTCCATTTGTTTTATCTGCATTATAATTACACACAAAAAATCAGCGTTACAATTAACAATTTTCTTTGGTTATGTTGCGCACATGTGACTCGCATTAACTTTACTCTGAAAGCGTACTGTAATAGTGAACACGTGATTTGGTGCTACTGCTTTGGAAGGGATGCACAAGTAGAATTAACAAAAACAAAATCAACACACTCGTCAACAACACTGCGTTCGAAGATAATATATAATCGGCGACATTTGGGCGATAACCCTTTATCTGCTATGAAGAAAGGGCCATTGCCCAAAACGTCGCTGATTATTTACATTATCTCCTTTATTGCATGATAACAGTAAAGTCAGCATATATACCATACATCTGTAATTGACAGTACTCGTAGTACGATTCGCATTATACAAACTATCCTGACAGAACAAAGTCAAGAATGTGTTCACGTTTGGCTTACGAGTGGCATGTATCAACCTTACCTGCACTTGATAAGTTGTAACAGCAAGCTATAATATAACAGCAGCATCCTTTATTGTTTGGTTGTTGATCCAGCTTTAAAAAAAATTACCTGCAAAAAAAAAGGTTTTAAAAAAAACGTACTTAAACATTCTTTGTACCAATATCTTCCGTAAATTATCATTGGATTTTTTGCATGTAGGGACCCAAGGAGGCTACCGACAAATAAAATAACTCACATTGCACAGCGGATTCTGCCACTGATAAAATGCAATTGAGCCTTGCTCCAATCGAGGACATGGAGGAGTGGGGGGGTGAAGAACGCACGCATGCAAACGATTACATGGTTATTTCATCGTTCACATTAAATCACCGCTGATAAGCACGTCTTTCCGTGGGGATGTAAAAAAAAAGAAATCTACAAGATGTACTCACCTGTCTCTCGGCTTGTTATGTGTTGCTCTCCCCTTGCAGCAGAACAGAGAATCGCACTCGCGACGTGCACGGAGCCCCCAAGGCAAATGTTCTCCCATGCACGCGTTATAAAGGACGCTCGGGCTTATTCACCAGAACAGCATCAATACGTGTCCCGCCAGCACACATTGGCCCACGTGTCTGACCATTCCTCCTCGGTATTTTTTTACCCATTTTTTTTTAACACATGCATTAATTTGCAGCAATTGCACGATAGTTGTAAGTAACAATAAGCTAAAAAAAATAACATTTGAGCATTAGACCTCGGTTTTGCAGTTTGAAATATTAGAACTCACCGTGTCCCCATAGATGTGTCGTGACCTTAAGTCTTCAAAATAATAAAGCAATTGGTAATTTGTGCCGCGTTCTATCCTTCAAATCGATGGAAGCTTAAGCGGCTTCTATCCAAACACGTCACACGCAGCCTGAACGCAGCGCTATCTGCTCCTAAGTTGTTTTTAGCAACGTGCTGATGGAAGAAATTCCCAGGAGATATTGTTTGGAATGAAATGCCCTCAAGGAGAGGGAGGGAGGGAGGGGAGACAGCATAGCACCATGGGTGACTGTGTAGTATTAAAAAAAAACAATACAATCATAAACGTACAAGAAAAGACTTTCGTTTGAAAATGAACCTAATAAATATAGATTTTTAAAAAGTGTACATATACATATTTACCTTTACCTGTTAAATACTCTTGATCCTTCTGACAATGTTCATGCATTGTGTGCTTGTGTCTGAGAGAATAATCCAAATGATAAAATACAAATTCCAACGTGACATTGGACGTGAAAATATCACCGACGTGTGACATGAAATCAGCACAATTTCACGATAGTGGCAAGTGGTCGTGAACGAGGCCCACGGAGAGGAAGACGTGGTTGTGGATTGGGGGGGGGGGTGGAGGGAGCCCAACAAAGAGAGATCAGAGATAAATGAAGAAGGCAGCGAAAGATAACTAGCGTGCAATGCAGAAGCGGCTAGCGCAGATTTTAACGCTCAGCATTAAAGCTGAAACCAATCTGTGTGAATAAGATAATCAGGGGCACTGTGCCAGTGCAATCTGCCTCATGCCCGTGATGTCACATTAAGCTTGAGGGCACAGCTGCCCCTGCCAAACGACCACCTACCTCCTTTGGATTGCTTTAGAGTTGACAGGTCAGCCTGAACAATGATATGCTCCTGCGTATCCCGTATAGTTTTACAGATGCCTTAGCGCATGCCCTTCGAAACCACATCAGTCCTCGCAGCCTTTCAATGTGCGACTTTCTCTTTCCACTGATTTAAAGGCACGCTCAGTGTCCATCGCCAATTGCACACACAGCATTCAGACAACACAGAGATGTAACGACTGGGTTGACAGCCGTAGGTTCATTTGATGTGCACAAGGTATAGACGGTGCTACGGGGCTGTGGTGAGGGCCCTTTCGTCCTATTATTTTCACACCGGTAATGGAAACCTGGAATGTGATGTGTTGCTTACGCATATTGATTTGATGAGTAATTGCTCAAATCAAAGTTGGCGTGACTGAACGTGGGCTTGTGCGAGTAGCTCGCAATGCAGCATTTTCCAGCATCTCAGATTGCTCCAAGGGTCTGGAATATAAACGACCTACGCAGTAGCTGCACCTTGGTGCAAGGGCCCCTTGCATTTTATATTGCATTGCATGAGCACAAGTTCATTGCCATGTCAATGTATCCTGCTATGAGTGATGTAATGTTAGTTAAGAAAATCCAAAATATTATTACAGAAATAACGCCCACAATTTGTGCGGGCGTCCTTTAGCTCCGACAGAATGTGCAAGACCTCGTGGCCACTACTGTACTGGTTAAATCCATCAGCATATGTATGACTATTACCTGTACACAACAGTGCAAAATTCACCATCAAGACATATTTTATGCAATATATTTTCTGTGGGTGTTTACGATGCTTTCAGGAGCACAAAAAATGCGTATCGTTTGTCCAGCAGGCACTGACCCTATTGTCTCCAGATAAGCAGCTTGAAACAGCTTGAAACACAGCCACATAAACCACATGAAATAATGATCCGCCACGAGTACACGTATTGCTATAGTAATTACATGATTAAAATACACACATTAAAGTAAAATAGGTGGATTCATTCGAATGTTATCCTATTACTTGATCACATCTTAAATGCAAAGCGTGAAGACATATTGTGTTAAATTGAGATTACGCATATGCAAATAAAATGCACCTAATTACTATTCATACTTATTTGCATCAGCGCAGGGTTTTTTTCCCCTAAACTTACAAATTAATTTAATTGGAGCCTCTCATGTAAGCAGCCACCTCTTTGAATTTTTTTGACACAATGTGCAAAACCTTATTACCTCGTACAGTGAGGGAAAAAAGTATTTGATCCCCTGCTGATTTTGTACGTTTGCCCACTGACAAAGAAATGATCAGCCTATAATTTTAATGGTAGGTTGATTTGAACAGTGAGAGACGGAATAACAACAACAAAATCCAGAAAAACGCATGTCAAAAATGTTATAAATTGATTTGCATTTTAATGAGGGAAATAAGTATTTGACCCCTCTGCAAAATATGACTTAGTACGTGGTGGCAAAATCCTTGTTGGCAATCACAGAGGTCAGACGTTTCTTGTCGTTGGCCACCAGGTTTGCACACATCTCAGGGGGGATTTGCAGTGGCTGGGTGGCTCAGTGCTCAGACCACTGAGATAATGGTTTCTAATACAGGCAGCAACCCATGATTAAAACGGCCTCTCAAATTTAGACAATTGAAGATTTTAGTTATGTTACCAATTGCTGCACAAAACCCCTAATAGTTGTTTGATCAACTCAACTTATGCATTTCGGTATGTCATACAGCAAACCTCTCTATAGCAGGGTGTATCGGGGAGGTGGCAGTGCCTCTGGTGTGGCTAAAAGGGCACTTGAAGGTATCTCAGAAACAGTCTGGGATATCTCCTTACATAGGCAATTTTCTAATTAGTGATGCACTGCTGGAGCTGCAAATGTACATTTCTTCATTTTGTAACACGACACCGATGTCACAATTGCAATAACAAACATGCTCGAAAGAAAACATGAAAACGTGCCTATGCATATGTATAGGTTCATTGGATTCATGACACCATTCGTATTTAGAAGCAAGAGTTAAGTTAAAGATAGACGAAAGGGGGTGGGAATGTGTGTATGGTTAAACTCTTACTGTAAGATCGTTACTCATTATGAGTCTACACCTCTAGGGTCCTTTAGCTCACAGAGAATACAATTACCTCAAGACACGACTGCATATCGGGGCAGTGTGAACCGTGATATCACATCGTGATGAAGCACACAGTGTTGTCACCTGCTTATTGAAATACATGCTGCCGTGTGTGTGTGTGCATGGCACCATACATTTGTGTGTGCTGTTGGGATTTGTCCTATGAGTAACATTGTCCTCTTTTCGATTTTTGCTTTTTTTAGGATTCCGTGGCAGCATGTGAGATTTGAGGAGCCAATGTAAAGGTAAAGTTATTAAAATAAACAATTCACTGGCCTGATCTCCAGCCAGTAATTGTCAACGTTTGGACAAATTTGAATTCACTCAACTCAGCGGTGCAGTCTAAGCAACTAACAATGTATTTTCACTTTTCAGGAAAAAAAATATACGGAATTGTTAGCTGCCCTTTCAGTAATATTGGATTGTTACAATTTCAATAAATATGTATCTATGGAGATTTGATATCCTTATGCTGATGTCCAAATAAGAATTTTATAAAATTCAATGCCAAAAAAATATTTGAGTTGATTTGCTTTATATTTTTTACAAGTGTATTATAATGACATTTATATAATACCACTTTAAGCTTTATTGACTGATATAATAAGGTTTTAAGTAACGAAGCATGAGATGCTCTATATATTGTAGTAAACACATTAAGCCATGCTGCACATGCTGGAGGAGTAACGCATGTCCTTTAAGAAATGTACATTGGAGTTTAGCCACACTTCGTTATCCAGTAATATTTGAACAAACCCATCAGACTGCAAACAATCTAACCATATTTCGATGTAAAGCTTTCGTGACTGCAAGGATTCATCTTCTTGGGTCTTTCGGTAAAGTCACGTAGAATGGGAATAAAATAATATAATAAAATAAGACAATACAATTCTCACGACGCTTCGAGGTAACATGCAAATTCATATTTTAACTCCGCCCACACAGCTTAATAGACGCGTTCCATGTTTAACAGCTTTCAGGACACAGCAGCGCACCTTGGCTGTTGCACTTGCCCATTTACTTTTTTCCTCTCTGCCTGTTCCCAGCCCCCTCCCTCCTCCTCTCCGGAGGTGATGCTGGTAACATCCAAATTCATATTTTAACTCCGCCCACACAGCTTAATAGACGCGGTCCTTGCATGACAGCGTTCATTCAAGCTCTGTCTTCCGGACAGACCTGTCTCTTCACCTGAAGAAGGCCACTTGTGTTGTGGCCGAAACGTCGTGAGAATTTTATTGTCTTACTTTATTATTTGATTTCCATTCTACGTGACTTTACCGAAAGAACCAAGAAGATTAATCTAACCATATTTAAGTCTTTCGGTAAAGTCACGTATAAGGGAAACAATAAAATAATAAAAATATAAAACAATAAAATTCTCACATTTTTGACTGCAACACAAGCAATCATCATCAGGTGTGAAAACCACAGCAAGAAAATTTGAAAAAAGTGGCGGTTATTTTTAACGTTAGCACCACGGAGAGCGATTTGACAGTTTGTTCAGATGGACGAGTCCATCTATGTTCGGAAAAGAGGAGGAGGGAGACGAAAATAATGGATGCGGTCTGAAAGCCACCGTAAGCGTGAACAATCAATTAAGACCTTCTACGTGACTTTACCAAAAGAACCAAGAATATGAATCTCTGCAGTCACGAAAGCTTTAAATCAAATTCATATTTAAGTCATTTTCACTTATACCCTACAGGTATACCACTTTCTCCATACATGCAAGTACAAAAAATAAATAGTACTTTATAAAATGGCATTGCTTATTACAATCATTAAGTTGTTGTAACACATCATGCTTAACTTTTCTAGACATTTACAATCCATATGAAATTGTATAGAATGGCCTTGAATGATTAACATATGCATGTTTTTTCAATGAGACATTTTCAAAACATTTGATGTTGAATTCACTCAATAAATCAAATGTCAGCTACATAAAATGAAGTGCACAGTGTCCTTTGGCATTCTTGCCAATTGGGGTTGGGAATACCTTTAAATATATCTAAAAGTTACATTTTAAGCATATGTATGCATGGGCCTGCAATGTAAAAAAATGTAAACCACACACACACAGGCACACACACTATAAATATTTAAGTTAATGCAGTCATGTTATATGAGTGTGGTAACACTGCAGGTTATTAAACTGATTGGAACCTGTGGGTGTTTGTCTAAATTGAATTTACACAGGATTATAAATTATAAACCTATTGAAGCACATTACACTTTATTATAAAGAACACGATTGTGGAAAAGGAAATACAAAAACTAATCAGGCAAGAATAGTCATCAGACAATGCAATTTTATTAGCTTTCTTTGTTCAAGAACGATACAGAAACGGCACATAATATAATTATAAACTTAATATTAACCCACCTTTACTTATCGTTGAAATAATGCAAGCACATAATCAAGCTTCATTAAATGCACCTGACAATGTTTTACTGTGAACATGAAGAAATAATAAACATTGAAAAAAAGAGTAGGATGCAATTATAAGTGTGGCATGGAAATCTACGCATTTCTTTAACTAAATGTCAAAATGTGCACACTAAATTTATTATTTTACACATTCAGAGAAATGTAGATATGCAGTTAACCATGCTAAAATGCCAAAATTTCCGCATTAAGTTGTCATCAAAAAAATACTGTCTCTATATACCTTTACAACCAGTTTTAATAGGGCATGTGCATCTTCTAAAATAAATTAACAACTTGCTTCCTTAGCAATAGATTGAGCAGTATGTTGGGATCTTCAGCTTTATCATTGTGAGACTTTCCTGAAAAGCAAAAATGAGAAAGCAGCTTTAATGACCATTGCACATGAATAATTTCATTATTAATGGGGGTGCAACAAAATAATTGTGATTAGTCAACGCTGTACAAAGATATTTGATGATTTGTTCAATAAAATATTCAATGCACATTTACCATCACACTCCTTGCCACTGTTAAGCCCTTGCTGCAATATAATAACCATGAACAAAACTGAAACCGTTGGTGGAAGTCATGTTATTTTGGCTGATAAATTACCACACATCACTTGCATTTGCTGCTAATAGCTTACAGTGAATGACACGTGAATACAATATTTGGAACTAGCTTCTTTGCCCGTCCTAGGACGGAAGCTGTAATATTTGCGAAAAAAATCGAGCAGTGACTTGTATAAATGTAATGGCAGTGAATCTTGCACAAAAGTATGTCATCAAACACTTCATTGAATGGCACTGTAGCACTGTATTAATGGCAGTGATTCTTGCACAAAACTCTATCATAAAACACCTCACTGAATGGCACTATAGCACTGTATATAAACTGACCTTCAATTTGTTCAAATTCACTGCTCTGATACTTAATTCTCTTCTACTTTCGGTCGATGGGGCTGAAGTAAATTGGAAATCTATGCAATGTGGAAAATCACCGAGAAATGTCTATTTTGCCATAATGTAGAAGCATAAATGAGCCTTAGCTTTTGTCTCAAGTGCTGAAGAAATAAATAAAGACACCAAATCCACTTTGTTGCTGCGTATAATTATTTATTACATTCACTATCAATGAAGAAACGTCAAACTTAAAGCGAATTTTCGAAAAAAATTATTTCCCTTCGACCTTCTGCGTGAGTGTAAAAATCCACCCGCTTAAAATTGTTT